ACTAAGCCCCCAGGAAGATGATCTCTGATGATAAGAAAACATTTCCTAATTTGTCAAGTTTGCTGCATCAGAACTGTGCTTTGCATATCTCGTTCACGACACAATCTCTAATCCGCTAGTATTATCCTACCTGTTTCACTGTCCTTGCTTCCCTCTGGAGAGGAAAAGGGACCCGCTGCCAAAGGAGACATTGGGTTGGCAGGTGGGTATGGCACATCTGTTCCATCACTGGAGGACCCGCTCTGCCGCATCTTGCTAGAATCTGGTGGCTCGGGGCTGACAGAAGACACTGTGGATAAGTGCTTTTGGTGGCGGGGCTTCTGCATGTCGATGGCTCTGCCAACTAAACACAGACATCACATTGCTGAAAGAGCTTTTACCTGTTTTCAGCAATGAAGAGAGGAAGACTTTCAGGACAAAATTAGGTTTGTGTGTCTTCAAAAACATGTTTTAAAACCAACAAAGCTTACTGAATCTTCTCAGCATGGATTTTGAAAAGACAGCAGAGACTTTATCTCACTTTTGGGTTAAGAGTTAGGGAACAGGTAATTCCTTATCTGACATACTTGCACCGCTATCATGTCGACTCGGTCTCCTTGGTGGGCCCAGAATATTAGGAAAGCCTCTTCTCTTGCCTTTTTACTCGCCTTCTTTCTCTTTCTTGATACTTTGCTGCAGTTAATACACAGAAAGAAAAACAAAGCAAACAGATCACTCATTTCTCTCAATTCAGTTTTGCACTGAGATATTGACTGATTCTTTAAAACTGCAGAAGTTTGGTACGAGAAAGTTTTATTTCTAACAAGTTACTGAGAGGCCAATATCCTGCAGCATCAGAGGCAAAGACAGCCTGCAGACACACTATGAGTGGTGAGTAACAGGGTTAGCAGCAGGGAGCCACAGCATCTTAAGAGATACATCTGTTATGTGCAAAACCTCGCACACCCTGTATTGAACTTAGCAGGAGCTACAAACCACTCTCCTCCCTAGGGTAAAAGACCCATTTACAGTGACCAGTAGCACCTTGTTTCTCCAAGGCACAACATCTCATGACTCCAAGCCTCCACAAGCATACAGACTAATCTGGGAAAGAGAAATACAACTTCTCTTACCACTTCAGAAAGGTTATGAACATGATCTAACCTTTTTGCACTCTCAGTGCAGAACTGCTTGTAACAGTCTCACCATTTCAAAGGAAGCTGGAGCACTGATGAAAATAAGTAGTTACTGTGACCAGATACACCCTCATGCTGTAGGAGACAACGGAACACACCCCCAGAGATGGAGTTTTGGTGGAAAAAAATCATTACGTAAATGGGCTGTGTGGGTGGCAGGAAGAGTAGCTTCCCTGCGTCACGAAGCATGAGCTTTTGGGCAAGTTTCTCAAGAAGAAAATTAAAGTATACAGTCCAACAGTGGGCTCTGCCTTAATGGGATCCTTAAGTAATTCAAGGTTGTATTATATGAAACATTTCTCACTTAAAGTTTTAATAAGGCTAGAACTGTGAAAAGCAAGCAGTCAGAATTTAGGCATACAGATAAAAGAAGAAAGAAGGCAAACTCATCTCTAATTCAGGTGTCTGAAAACAGACGTAGAACCAAATTTAAACTTTGAGATTTTCTGTGCGGGTCCATAATCCCAGATCCTCTTTAAGCAACAAAGACTATAAAAATCATAGCAACTTCTAATGTGTCATGCACAAGTGGATTTTGAATCCCAATGAGGTACCCACTCTGACCACAACACTACTACCTTGATCTTTGGCAAGAACCCAATACGGCCACGCTTCTGCTCCAGGTTCCGAGGTTCTTTAACCTTGACTCCCAGGTGTTTCATGTAAGTGAGAATCACATACTGCATCGTGGAACTGCCAAGTACACACAAAAACAGAAGACGGAGGGTAAGAAATGTATTGGGGAAAATACATTCTGTCAAGAAAGAAAAAAAGTCAAATGCAAAGGTTCTATTGCAAATTTAACCATTCTTAGATTAAAAAAACTTGGCATCTTTTTTTTTTAATACGAAACAAACTATCAGAGATAATGGGAAACACTCAGCCAATATCAGAATTTGTCCTCTTTAAACAAAAGATGTAGTATATAAAAGGCATACCAGCCTAGGAGATGAAAAAATTTTGATAAATCCACAGAATGTCCTAAAATGATAGACTAAATACTTATTTGAAATCACAGTATAGTTTTGAGTTATGGTAAAAATAAGCATCAGTAAAAGGTATGGTTGCTGTAAAGAATATAGTAAAAGGCACCCAGATGGTTGTATACACACAAATTCAACAAGGCAGGGCACATACAGAAAATAATATAGGCAAGATTGAAACAGCTACAGAACAAAATCAAAAGAATCATGAGCTCTCAGTAAGTTTTTCAGAATGAAACAAAGGCAACAAACTTCAGAATAAGAAGAGGTTGAGAGCAGGAGGCTGATGCTCTGAATTCCAATTAATTATGCTAGGGGAGTTAGATAATGAGAGCTTGTGCTACAGCCAGCAGAGGGCTGTCTTGTTCTGCTCAGCAGAACACAGAGCCAGCAAGAGGCTCCTTACTTCACAGACTAAGCCCACACAACTTTCATTACCTCTTGTCTTCTTCCAAAGGCTGAGATGTCATCCTAAAATAAAGAGAGAATTTTAAAATGAAACTCAAACCCCAATTAACACCCAGTCACACCCATCCAAAGCATCAGCGGTTGTGTTCAAAGTGTCCTTTAGAACATTAGCAAGTCCCAATGGGGAGGGGCTGGGGGAAGTGAAGGTTCAGTTGGGAAAAACTGGATTCAGCTCACATTACAATAAAAGATTGGGCTTTGAACCTAAGGGTTCTTATAATCCCAAAAAAGGACTCTGATCTAAAAATGCATAGAAGCATTTCCTCTGCTATTTGAACAGTAGCCTCCTTGACAAGATACATGGACTCTACCTATTAGCTTACTTTTGGCTATCATTACTCAAACATACGTTGATAACAAACAGGGGAAGCAATGCAAACGTAGCGATCTCAAACTGCTTCTAAGACCCTAAATCCGTTGCTCTGCTGTTGTCAGGTTCAGGGTAGAACCTCCTTTACTCCCACAATTATACTTGCTGTTACTCACAAGACTTCCTCAACTTTAGCAATGATCTGCTCTGCACATGCTCTTTCCTTCTCCACTGCATTCCGGTCACGAACTCTCTCTGCATCCAGCTTGGTTAGCTCTCCTTCTGCCAGAGTCAATCCCATGCTACGTTTCTGCCTGAAAAACGTGGAGAGGGAAACATCACTTGAAATGGAATATGGACCTGTAACAAGGAGAAGCAACCTCTTGACATTCAGAATGTCAAACAGGTCTCATTGCTGGTTGCTGTATGAACATGGAGAAGTCCATGACCTTTTCAATAACGTCTGTGGTCACTGTAAAACATAGCCAAGATTGCCTTTGGAGGGTTAACGCTGTATGACACTTATCAATAGAGGAAGCCATTGCAAGGGTCAAGAAAAAGTAGTTACTCTTTCTGCAGCATCCCACGATATATATTTGAAGCATAGACTTGAATTGAGACATTTGTAGGTATGAAAAAGTCCATTATTGAGCACTTGTCTTGGTATAATGTCTCATGTTGGCACAGAGCTCTTATGACTCCACATGAAAGGGCATATTAATTATCAAATTCTACTATATGCCCATGACAGCTTTCTAAAATGGATTATTCTGTGCCCAAAGGGGAGGGAAGGAAAAAAGGAGAAGGAAAAAAAAAAGATATAAGCTGATTATAAACACAATTAGTAAGAAGGATTTATATAACATCACCTAACAATGTTCTGAAATTGAGTCAAATAGCTTCAAGGAACAAAGAATCCAAGCTCTAAAATTGATCTGGCAATTCATTGCTTGCAACACAGTGTCAAAACACATTCAAGGATTGGTCACGGGGTGACCCTGGAGGCCCTCTCCAGCGGTATCTTGATATTCAGTCCAGGATGAATTATTGTGTCCCTCGAGTTTGGACTTCTCCTGTATTGGACACCTTGGCTGAGGGCAGGTGTGAATTAAACAAGAACTACACAGACAGCTGCTGTTACCTGAAATCTTCCAGGTTTCTTTGAACTTCTGGACAGACTTTGTCTTGCATAGTTTGTATAAACTGGCGATGAAGCTCTTCAGGAATGAGTTCTGGCCGCCTTCTGTCTGTAAGTCAGAAGAGAAAAGTTAACAGATTACTATTTTGAGAACTGTCCTCTGCATCCGAGAATAGAGTCACTCACATGCATACTTTAACCCATCCAAGAGTACCCTTTTGCCTTCCACTTGCTAATAAATATGAACTTCAGCAGTTCAGGTCACATCCGCTATCATACTAAAAAGGTACAGGCCAAAGCTTCCTGCCATTTACACACTATCAGAGCATGCATTATGCCCTCCCCAAGAAACTTTAGTAGTATTTATGTGTCTCTCCCTGTAACACATAGCACCATGTGTCTGAAGTAACCTGAAGTGCATTTCAGAAACTTGCTTGGACTGTCTCAGACAGCAGAGACTACAGAAACAGATACCCAAGGCAAGAGCATCCTACCTAGTTCTAAGGAGATTTCGTCTGGAACTGGAACTTTCAGATTCTGCAAAAGAAAATAAAAACTGTGAGAATGTACACAACAATCACTACCCCGATAAAACACACAATAAAAAACATACAGGAAAATCTCCACAAAAGACAAAATCATACAATCTGGGCACCTGAAGGTATGAGGAAGGAGACTCCCATCCTGAATATGTTATATTACACAAGGATTATTCTATCTAAAGATGTTGTACTAGTTTCTGCCACACTAGCTGGTAGTCCAATTCATGACAGTAAAGACGTTTCTCAGGCTTTCCAACAGACAAATCAAATTTCTCAATCCTTGCAATAGCCACATCAACATATGCAGCAGTTATTTCCTAAAAGGCAACTTATAACAGCTACAGCTTGCTTACGTATCACAAAATTACTTCTCCCAATGCATTCCCGATGATTTATTGAGTTACCAGGCACCTGAGGCTATATACCATTCATTTGGCTGCATTCACTGGTAACAGTTAAACAAAACTTTATATTTTGGAGGACTTAAGTAACTCCTTAGTTTTATCCAGTTCAGGAGTGGAGAAAAGTAAAAGTCAACTTGCTAGACATGCTTGAAAATGAGAGAAAGGTCTGGAACGTACTGCAGCTCGGTCCAAGAAGAACTGGTAAAACTCGAGGAAGACACGCCGAGTCTCTTTGGAGTTGGTCTGCTTGTACAAGTCTGTGTAAAGGTAGCACAACTGTGGGAAACAGGAGGGGAGGAAATTGAGCGATACCATAAGAACTCCTCTAACACCCCTAACCCCAAGTTTCCTTTCAGATATTTCAAGGATTTCAGCACTGCTGGTTTGAAACTCTTCCTAGCTGCCTTTAGCCATCGAGACTGCTCAGGTAACCTCAGCTAGGCTGCTTCTGTAATCAGTGGAGAAAAGAGAGGTGGAGAGACAAGGAGCGATAGAGAGAGAGAGATCAGACCTTCCCCACAGACAACTAATGCACCACTTTAGGGCAGAATGAAATGTTTTCAAGAGCTAAGTACTTATTCGTAAACAGCTAAATGTAAGGGAGACAGTTCTCTTCATGCTGCTCTTTATTCATCTGAAACACTCTCACGCCTGCACAGGATCTGCCTTTCCCTCCTTGCCGATCCAGCCATGTCAATGACAGTGCTACACAAGAACAAGGAGATCCAGATATGCTCCGGTTATGACTATCAATTTGGTTCAGAGAAACAATGTCAGGACATCTTACCAATGCTGCAGGGTCAAACTGGGACACCACATGATGCAGAAGAACAGCCAGGTGAGCTGGGCGAGATTTCAGGAGCTCAATGTTTTGGAAACAGCTGCATTGTCCATTAATCTGTAAAGATACACGGAAACTATTTGAATTATTCAAGAAAGCTCTGGTGAGCAAAACCAAGCAGCTTTGTTCCAACAGCTTGGCTCCTCATTTTTTAAATTAAAATAACAACTGATCAATTCCAGAACCTTTGCAATGTCATTTTAACATCCCATGAAGAGCTTACAATAGGAACAGTTCTTTTAAATATTCTCCTGATCAGTACAATACAATGAAATATAATTCAGAGCAATGAAATATAATTCAGCTAAAACAGCTCAGAATAAATATCTTAAAGGCCACAGCAGCTATACTGCTGTGATAATAATGCAGAACTCAATAGGAGCTAAATAAGCAAAATGAAATTAAATAACGCAAATGGATTTCTAGAAAGCTTGCAGTTGTGAAAAGAAAAAACAGAGTAACAAGAAGAATCAAAGGTGGCATATTGTCATCTACTCCCTAAATGTTTTATTTGGCAAGATCGCATTCTCCGATTCTGAATTCATCACACAAGAACTGCTCAATAAAAACAAGTCTTGGAGCACTTGTAGTTTAGACGCAGAGGAACATAATTTTGGTTGAGGGAAAAAAGGGGTGGCTGAGGCTAAAAGTCATTCCCACCTGCTCCTGCTCAGTGTCAAAGTCGTCATCCTCTGCTCCAATGATCTGAGGCCCCACTCGGGACAAAGGACTTCCAACACTGGACTGGGAATCCTGGGGTGAGTCCGAAACAACAGAAGAGAGGGTCAGGGAAGTGAAGGAAGAAAGATACAGTGCCGTTAAAGTAGACTTTCTTTACCAATTTTGAGATATTACTATCATTTTTATTCTCCTCCTCAAAACTCAATGGAAACTCGTGTCTTTACCCAACCTTCTCCAGGTTTGCAGTTGCAAACCTTACAAATGCTTCTCCCAAGCTGCAAGCATTCAGAAACATTAGATCAGATGACTCAAAACCAACTGCATCATGTACAGACATGAGCACACTACACATGCAGCACGTGACAAATGTAATCTTAGTACAAATGGAGAAATACGACTTTGGAAAGTCAAGCAGATGAAGGGAAAAATGCTTGCGAAGTCATCCTGCAGACGACAATGATACGTTCAGATAGGTCTGCACTTTCTGCTATGTTCCATTTCGACCTACTCTTGACGCCATCCCTGATAATACCAGCCTCATAAGGACTAAACATCCTAAAGAAAAGACTGTTTCATTTACTGTTGGACTCAAGGAATAAAGTATGTACCACTGCTCTACCTATTTTAGGTCCAGCTGTTTTACTGCTGATTATGTATTTCTTGCCTCTAAATGGGCCTGCTCTTAAGCTCCATAAACATTTACTCAGCTAATTAACTTCCCCTGCACAACTTTAATTGCGTTTCATTTTGTGAAGTTTATGCATGCTCCATCTAGAAAGCAGGGAAAAAATAGCAAAATTTTAATGGGCCAATTAAATGAGATGCTGTTGTGACACTTCATGTTTTGTACTCACAGTATCTTGAACCTCAGTCTTTTCTGGGCTCTCATCGGGATAAATCCGCTCCTTCAAGCCACTACGAGGACTCTGAGAAAGAAGGAAGTTCAGTTCTGGTGAGAATCAGCAAATCCAGGAAAATGAGAACTGCACAGCAAGGTTTTCAGCCACAACAGCCAAAACTTCTCCTTTCTCACAGAGTGAACTGTTAAACAGCTGCAGCATGAACAGCCAAACTAAGACGTGTGACATACATGCACAGTTTCAAAAAAACCCCAAAAAACCCCAAAGTGAATGCAGAAGCAGTTTTTGGTAAGAAAGCTAGTGAGACTGAATAACAGCAGAGTTGTACAATCTACTCGTGCATGTGTCCTTAGATTTCCCTTTGCTCTCTCCACCTGTTTGGGCAGCTCACGCAGTATTCAAGCTCCTAGTCAGAGGGCTAGCAACATTTCTCAACACCCCCTCTGAAGAGGGCTGCTCCCAGTAACAGGCTCAGTATTTCAGGTGCAGTCTTACCCGTGCCCAGCAGAAGGGGTTAGTGACTTCCTTCCACTCTCTCATGTAGCCCAGTAGACACCAGGCTTTGTTTGCAAAACAATGTGCTGCTGGTTCATTTACAGTGCGCCCACAATAACACTCAGGTCTTTTCAGCTAGGCTGCTACTCAGCCTGTTGGTTTCCAGCCTGTACTGATGCATGGAGTTATTTCATCCTAGCTGTATAACTCCACTTCTTGTTAAACTTCAGCAGGTTTCTGTTGTCCCCAATCCTTAAGTTGCTCTTTGGACTGAAAAGCTTGAATGTTTAGTGTGTCAATCACCTCCAGTAAACAAATATCATCCATAATACTGACAGGATTAAGTTTATCAGGAAGATAGCTATAAACTTATTATATACAAACACAAATGATACCTAGTCACATTTGGAGTTGGAGAAGGAATGTTTCAAAATAGAGTCATGTACGTTCACATTTTGTAGGTATATCTGACCCATCCTCCTTTCATTTCCAATTGCCAGTACAAACCTAGCTCCTACATCTTTCAATTAAACAACAAACTTAGGCTTAAATCCAAGTACAGAGTCTCAATTCCTCTGCATTAATCAGATAGTGACTTAATTAAGGATTAGGTGCTAAGGCACTCCAATAGGCAGATCATACGAGCACACAGATTGGTAACTAATGAGAGAACAGACTAAGAGCCTTTACTGTTGGCAATAATTGAAGCTTATTTGGTAGAAGTAAGGCTCTTCCCCACTTTCATGGCAACTTGCCCACCGACTGGATCTGAGTCACAGCTACCGCAATTGGAACATTACCATACTCTTAAAAGATGCTCTAATTGGCATCTCCGAGTTCTGAGAGAGATGCTAGCATCCATCTTTTCTTGTCTGGTTACAGGGATTGTGCCAAGAAAATCTAATCCTGGATAAAAACCCAAACCCCACACTATTTCTTTCCTAGTCCCTAATGGATGTCCAATATAGTATGTTTCCTCAGGGAAATATTTGTGGTGTGTACTGAGAAGCTTATTCTAGTAATATACTGTGTTACTGAGACAGAGTACGGATGTATCATGCACAGGACAACACAAAGAATCTGCACAAGGAAACCAAACCCAAAAGGTATAGAAGCAAAGTCACGGAGCTGTTCAGGACTCACATCACAAATGTCACTGTTTGGTCGGGAGCTGCTGTCACCACTGTAATCCAGTTTGCTCACACAATCCCCGCCCTCTGCCTCCACTTCACTGATCTGCAGTGATTCTGCCACAGACCTCGAGGACAAGACTCCATCCTAAAAAGATAAAGCGAGTTGGGAGACAGGACAGAGCAAGCGGAATATTTCAAGAGACAATCCTTAAACATTAGCTGCTTCAAAACCCAGTTAGTTCATACAATCTGTAAAACTTACTTTGTGTATATAGAAAAGGCTGCAGTGCTTTTCTAAGAATAGACAATGGAAAACCACATCAAGTTTTCAGGACTTATAACATTACAAGTAGAGAGAAAAGGGGAAAAAATACCACTCTAAAACAGCAAAGCTGTTTTAAGTTTCCAGTTATTCATTCTCCACTGTAAGAATGACTTTACAGGATTCTGTTAAGTTGTACTGACAGACAGTACAATAAACACACCATAGTTTGCACTTAAGAAAGTTTTTCAAAGATGATTTGAAAGTCCATTGTAAAGTCTACTTCATATACTGACATTTCACTGTACTGCTTGACAGTCTCTGCAAGCCTAATTGCAAGTCCCAACTCTAGAGGGGGCAATTTGCCTGTACAAGCACAGACGAGCACCAGGGAACTCCTGCTTGCCCAGAACACCATCATCCCCCAAGAATTTTCACCGGGAACATACCACAGCCTGACACATTCTGTTACCTGAGTACAGCCTGTGGCTTTGGATAACTGCTCTTGCAGCTGAGGAATGTGCTTCTTGGTTTCCTGTATCTCTTTGAGCAGTCGTGTGGTGGGTGAGCGGCTATACTCTTCTTGCAGAAACTGAAACATAATTTTATGAGCTATCACTCTGTATCTCCTCAATATCCAACCTTAGAACTACAACCTACTACTGATCTTCATTCCATTTACGCATTTTAAATAATAAATAGCACATCTACACAGCTACCACATAGATGCTGCAGAATGTCCATTTTATACAGCTCTCCCTTCTCTCCCATGCCATATGAAAATAACTGCATTCTAGAGATTTATTGAAATCTCTCAGTAGAGTCAAAGAGATTAGATCAGACTGACAGATATGTAAATTCCCACTTAAGAAAAGCTCCCACCGTTTTTTTCTTACTGTGTAAAGGATTAAAATCTCAAGACCTGATCAGCAAGACTGATTAGACCTCTGGTGATAGGCCAACGTCTAGAAGAGCTAAGCTGAGACACAAGCTATGCAAGGGAATGCTGGAGATGCTACTACGATTGAACAACCGATCTTTGTATTTACACCGTATTTCCTCCACCCCTCTCAAACTCATGCAACTCCAGTACCTGCAGCTGCTCCTGCTCTTTTTGCAGCATCTTTCTCAGAATCTCCACCTTCTGGTTGTGGACAATATTATTCTCCTCCTAGAAAATACAGAGAGAGTAAGGGTTGGGTTTTTCAGTGGAGCTGGGAAGAAAGGAAAACAGATATGCCCACTTATCAACAATAAAAACAAAAACACCCCCCAAGACCCCTACAAAAACAGACCAGAAGTGTTTGTTTATTTGCTTT